GCAACAAATGTATAGATGTGCTTTACACAATTGATCTATGTATTGTAATGAATTGTATGAGCCCCAATAAATTGATTAAAAAAACAAAACAAAAACAAAAAAACCCTCACTGCTTGAGTGCTTGGTCTACAGTGGACGATTCACAAAAATATGTGATCACATTAACAGAAGTACCAAAGCGCCCCCTTTAGGAAGACTGTCATTAGTTAAACTTAGAAAGTGCAACAGAAGTAAAAGAAAAAAAACCCTAACCCCCCCCCAGAATTTCAGAATAGTGTCTACTTTGAGATCTAAATGATGTTTAAGGAAAGTTGTGTGTCTACCACAAAAAATATTCCTTTCAGCATTAAAGGGTAAAATTATCAGGGTTTTTTTCACAGGTAAAAGGTGACACCTATACAAATTCCCAAGCACCCTAAGCACCCTAGCAGAGACCGCAGAAGTGAAGAGGCAAGAAGCTTTTCTGCGACCACCTGTAGCACGTCAACCCAGCACCCCCAAACTATTTCCTCCCCCAGGAATTGTACAGGAAGAGAAAAAGCACCTTCTTTTCCCATGAAAATCATGCGTGTGGAGATTCAGATTTCACACCCCATCCGCCAGGCTTAAAACAGTCCCTGGGACCCTATGAAACAATGGCTGCTGCTGGCCCCAGGGTGTCTCTCCCAGGCCACATGCGGGCTACCCTGTGAGCACCCTGGCACTCACCCTCTCATACTCGTCCTTGGCTCTGCTCAGCATCTCCAGGATGTCGATGGGCCTGTGGTCGCTGCAGCCATTGGCCTGGCTGGGACTCTGCTTATCCCGAGCAGCCTGCTGGGACCGCCGGGTCTCCTCTTCTACCACACTGGAGGAAGAGAACTCGATTTAAGAAAAATCCCTTCAGCTGACGGCTACCTTCCAAGAATATACTGCAATCTGCTGCGTGTCCCACGAGAGCAGTCTTAGCCATACAGAACCCAGTGCTCAGGACAGTGCTCTTTATTCTGATCGGTGTTGCGGAAGCTCACTTTCATTTGAAAATACTTAAACCAAGAAAGTCACAGGGGTGAGGAAGGGTAGGAGTCTTCAGCTCTCCCTGCATACCAAGCTGAGGCATTCTGACAGCAAAATGCTAGGAACTAAGAGCAGGCAGTGAGCATGTGGGTATCTGTCACTCTGCTTCACTTGTTAGACTGGATAATCAATATTAACACACTGCTTCCGTTTTGCTGGCTTTAAGGTCTGCCCAGCAGGTTCCAGGCCACCCTGCCATGGGACATCATCGGCACAACTTGATGCTTGTGTGAACCAGCCCAGAGCTTCCTAGATGGGACGCTGGTTGACAGGCAAAAGCAACAGAGCAGTGAAAGGCTTATTTCTGCGGACGAGGAGGGACAAAGCCACAGGCCACCCAGTGTCAGTTGTCACTGCCCTGCAATTTACCTAGGGAGGCCCCGGGGGGACAAGAGGCACAGGTGGGGTGTTAGCAAATGCTAAGGTTAGACAGCTGAGGTCTTAAACAGCTTTCTTTCCTACAGAACTAGCCTCACATGCAAAACATGCCAACACGCTGAACATGAACAGCAGGCTTTGATCCCCAAAAAAGGGTAGGTTTATAGATTTCCCCAATTTAAAGTCTCAGTCCAATCTCCCATGAGGCAAGAATCCTGTTTGAAAATTGCTGCTTTGGGAGTAGCGCGTGGTTTCTTTATTGAGATGATTACAGATCTAAAATGAATGTAGAACCACGGGCAGAGGGTGGACTGAAAGATGACTGGAATGTGACGATCAGATCGGATCAATCTGTATTTATAATGGAGCACATCAGATATCCACGATGGAAAACAACCCGTAGATGAACAGTGAGACTGCTTTCAAACAGCAACAGGATGGAAGATAAACTGTTGTTCCTGTTGTAAACAGTGGAACACACGCAAAGTCATTTTCTTTAATTTTTGTACCCCTCGCCCCAACGCCCTGCCATTTCCCACAACTAACACGCACTACTTTAATAATCAGAAACGAGAATCTGACTTAACGACCATGTGCTCATTTAAACTTAGTTATCAGCCACAGCAGCCTGCATCCAACCTCCTAAGAGATTTGTCACAAAGGCTGCTCGCTGTCAGCTGGCCTCGGTTCTTACCCGAAGAGAGCTTGGGTTGAAAAGAAGATTTCTAATCATCATCACTGCTCAGACCTGTGGGCAGGCCACAGGACAAAGCCCACTACTGCTGGAAACAAGGTGTTAGCTGTGGTGTAGGAAGGATTCTCTTACAAGAGAGCTTGGACAACAAGGCTCCTTCTGGTTTGTGTGCTATGAACAGCACCCTAACCTCACGTCTCTTCCTTCCTCTCAAATAATACCCAGTTGTGCCCAAGATTCTCTGCTAGATTAGGAATCATCTCATTACAGTCAATGTGGGAAAACACTCAAAAAGCTTTTATGGTTAGGAACAGTTTAGGGACAAACGGGATTTTCTCCTTAGAAAAGTCAACATTTTCTAACTTTAGGGACTTTCAACTTTGCTACTGCCAGTAGTAAATTAAAAGATTTCCAAATTTAGAAATGGTACAGGTCCAGAAGTTCTAGAAGCTCACTCACTCTCCTACATAGCGTCTGACTCTTTATAAACATCTCCTGGAATCGTCTTTTTTTAAATGTGTAGAACTTAAAATGGCATTACAGCCGCCAGAAGTGCGATGGGAAGACATGACTGAACAAATGGGCACTGACAAGCAGGCACGTTATTTCTGAGCGACAAATCCCTTTATCTCCACTCCTGGCATTCCACAACGTGGGGCCCCGGGGTTGTAGGCAGGCAGATCGACTTGAGGGTGAGTTTTTGAGTGTGTGGGCAACGAGGCACCCTGCAGAGCATTGATCCACTGCTCTCCCAAGTCCAAAGTGCGGCAGATAACCAGATTGTCTCCTGGAACATGACCCATTTCTCTATCAGGTGACTGACTGCTGACACCTGTTAAGGAAATCTGGATAGCCTTCCCAGTCGGAACCACTGTTTGGGGTCAGGCTGAGCCTGCCCTGGGTAGCATGCTGGCCCTTACATGTTGCCCAGTAAGTTCTGCTCAAGTGACGTCCTGCCCACAGACTGGATGTGCTGCACTCACTACACGTATGATAGGGGATTACTCTGCTGCTGACGCAAGGGGCAGGGTGACCCTATCTTTGTACAATGACTGCACAACTTAATGCACACAGCAAACAAGATGGGGAGGAATCAGGCTGAAACGCTAATACTTGGGTAGAAGGGTTACAGATAACTCTATTTCTTTTCTAAGTCTTTGACAGGGTGGAAGCGGGGACGGTGAAGAGACGCATATGTGAGTCAGCTCTGGTAACAGAAACTGTTTGCTCCTTTGTGTGCCGTCCACTCACTGGATGGGCAATGGGAACACTTACTTGGCCATGAGCTTGGCTATGCGGTGGCAGTCGTCCCTGTCGTAGAACCAGATGCTGTAGATCGACACTTGAAAAACAAAGAGGGGGGAGGGATGAGGAGAAATGAGCGTTAACCATTTGGGTATCTAGAAATACTACTACCGTGGACTATTATTGAATTTACCACCTTATCTTCAGCCCCAAGATGGGAGCAGTGAGGCGGGGGGTGGGGAGGAACCCACCAAACTTTAACATAAGACGGGACATGTAAAACCTCCACACCCTTATTGCAAACACGGTTTTAGGCACTATTACCAAATTGCAGTGGGCCGCAGGTGCACCATTCTTTCACGATCAAGAACAACAAAAGCTACGAATCAGAATTGATTGCACGATACATTCCAAACTGCTATTAAATGTGAAGAAATCTTAATGGAAACCAAGTTAACTGGCTACTCAGCCTTAAAAACCTTTATGAGACCCTTGAAACCTAAAAGGTGGAATTAATATGATTACCGTCAAAAAACCGAAAAAGCTTCAAAACCAATCCAGCTGCAGCTCCCTCCTATGCCTGACACCACTCCCCGTGGAGTGGGAGTGCTGGCTGGGGTGGGGCTCAGCCAGTCACACGTCTCCCCCGCTTTTCAAATTCCCAGTGTGACCCGCACAAAGAAAACCCTCAAAATCCATTTGTTGAGCCATCAAATGAGCAATGCCCTAAAGCTACTAGAAGTGCTTCTGGAGAAGGCAGAAATAGGAGCCCAAACAAACACATGGCCAGCTCGCAGATACCCTGACCCACACCACGAGAGCGTGGGCATCATGAATGCCATTGTTAATACAAATTATGCTAATTATTTGTTACACCCTGAATCAATGTCAATAATCCACAAGAAGTTTTCACGAACAATTATAAGTTAAAAGTACCCTTTTCAGTGGAAATAAAATTAACCAGAAGTTTTCCATTGCCACTGTTGTTGCCAGGTTGTTTCTGAATCAGAGCTACCCCACATACAACAGAATGAAGCCCTGCCTAAGCCCACGTGCCAACACTCAAAAGGGACCATTTGCAATAGATCTGCCAATTACACAGTTGGATTTGACTGCTGCTCCCTGGGCATTAAGGATGGATCCCTGTAAGTCACTATCCTTGACAGCGGTATCTTCTGTTTGCCATGACGGTGACTATCGGTCCAGCTCACACTGAATTGCAGTCTTTGTCACACTGTCGGTGGTCGTAAAAGACAGTGGCCAGTGCATGCTGGGTGAACATTATTGGTACGCATAGCAAATGAATGGCTTTATTTTAATGAACGGCAATCATGAATAGTATTTCCCCTACGCTGTTCACTCTGGGGATTCCCTTCCACCTACACTAACTCTGCTGATAGGCCCATGTGACTGCACTACCCTGAACCGGACCAGCCTGGTCAGTTTCTGCAGCTCTGGTCTGTTGTCTTTAGAACGCCAAGACTTTCCCACATACAGATTTGTCAACGCCCAATGAACAAGTCATTTCAGAATATTTTACATGACATAAATCAACAGATTAAACCTAGCCTTTCCCTTCTCTTGATTTTTCAATTATGCATTAGGTGGTGGGTTACCGATCATAAACTTAGCTTAAAAAAGAACAAAACAACTTTATTGTGAATCTGGTGAAGGTTTTAGAGTTCAGTTTCCCATGTGAGCTTAACGTTGACCTCTTAATGGAAGGGCACAGAAGCAGCCTTATTCCAGAGGAGATAATTCCTAAACACTATCTGCAGAGGAGGTAATTCCTAAACACCATCTACAGAGGAGGTAATTCCTAAACACTATCTGCAGAGGAGGTAATTCCTAAACACCATCTGCAGAGGAGGTAATTCCTAAATGGGATCTACTGCAGGGTCTCAGTTATGTTCTTAGCAGCTAAAGGTTGCTGTACTTCGAGGCAATCTGATCAGGGCTTTGAAAAGACTCCATATATGGCAATCGTACACAACCACGCTCTTTAAATGTGCCTGTTCCCTCCTTGGCTCAGGAACACCCCACATATAACAAAGTTCACATAAAGAAGGTCCTAGCTCCCCCGCATGTATTTGGACCATACCCACAGGACCTCCAGTGATGACAAGAGGTTTATTATACGTAATACATCACGCTCAAGAGAGGAGCACACAAGTTTTTAGTGTCTAATGTTGCAACACAATGAAGATGTTCTCCCAGGGGATCCTCAACTGAAAGCTTAGGAAATAATTTCATAATGATATCGAAATAAGCATATCCCAAAGGCAACTGACTAAAACAAATCTTCCTTTGAAGAAGAAGCAAAGTACAATTGAGAGTAAGACATATTCGGTCTACTCTCGTACTTTATCAAAGAAACTGCCAAAAAAGAGCCAAACACCTTGAAAGGCGTGTTTGCAGAAGAAATGCAAGATAAGGAAGCCATAATGGTAGCTTAATGGGTAAAGGATAAGAGTCACACGCGATTCTGCCAAAAGCAGACCTGTGGAGGCTCAGACACGCATCCAAGGTCGACTGTGCCTGCCAGCATATCAGATGCTCAGCGTGGGCAACCGCTAAGCAGGGCCAGGGAACAGGCCCTGGGCCTGTCACTGTCACTCATGAGCAAGGACAGAGAAGTTGACCAGATAACTAAGCCACAAAGGACCTATCTCCAAACCAAAGCTATGCCTTCCTCCTCCAAGAGAACTTACACTCTAGGCACACTATATTCTCAATCATCAATTTCCCCCATTACATCCCCTACATGGAGATGTAGGAATTTCGGGGCATGCCCGCCCTTCACCACGGCAGATCACGACAGCATTCTGGTTTCGAAGTGGCTCTTCCTATGCTGGAAGTGAGTAAGTTGTTATTGTACACCCTCCAGAGGGCTGTCCCACAACATCGAAAAGCCAGGAGTGTCTCAGGGCATCTAACTGTCCTTCCACGAGCAGTGAAGGTGGGCTTCACAAGGAATGGGGAAGAAGTCCATTTTTCTTTGAGTTTTTTGATGCCCCCTCATGTCAAGATGCAGATAACAAACCAACCCTGCTGCCGCATAACAGCTCCAAGTCACAGTCGCCCTCCCGTAGGGCTTCCCAGGCTGTCAATCTATACAGGAGCCAACCACCTCATTGTGCGCCCAAGGAATGCCTGCTGCCTGGTGTGTTTGAACTGCCAACCTGACAGCAGGCCAATGCTCACCAACAGCACTATCTGGGCTCCTGTAAAGACGCCAATCAGAATATAAAACTAACTATGCCCCTGGATTATCAAATGAAGGCCCTCCCACTGAAAAGTGTGAAGAAAATGATTTAGTGACAAAGATTAAAGAGTTGAGCCCTATTTAAAGACCCACCTGCCAGCGTTGATGTGATGCTCCACTCTGGGTCCCCCTTGGGATGGTATATTGTACACACAGATCAAGACAATCCCAAATCCCTTTGGGGACTGTAAAACCCTCAAGATTTCTAGAGATGCTGACTGCTAGAGACTTGGCAATCTTGTGAACTCGTGGCCTTTCTTAATTCATGCATTATTTAGGTTTGACCTCTTTTCTGCAAGCATGCGAAGAAGCTGAGATTCTGAGGATGACGCCAAAGCAGAAAAAGACATTCGATAAAAGCATGTTCTGTGTGAAGGTAGTTGACAAAGGTTCTCTACAGCACAAATGAAAAGCAAGACTATAGCTTTACATACAGCCAAGCACATTCTCTCTAGACGCAGGGTCACACAAACATAATAATATAGGACTACAGGAGTACCGTGCCCTAGCAGGTGACAAGGAAAATGCCTCTGCCTTGTCCGATGATAATTTTCTATCACACGAGAGTAAGCCTGGTGGCTCTCCCAAGAGCATCCAAGGGCTGGGCAAGGGCTAGGGACGGGGGTGACACACACCACCGCCACCCCTAGTTGGGATAACAACAGATTTTGGCAGGTAGCACTTAGCAGCCAAGGAACTACTGTGTGTTAAGATTAGAGTTCCTGTTCTCTAGGCTTCCAAAAACCTGGCCAGGGACCCAGGGAATAGTTAGGTCGTGATATAAGAACTATGCCCGCTCCTCTCGCAACTGTTATTCTTACATGTTTTTCTACCAATTTACTAAGAGGTCATCCAAGCTGGTGTTGTACAGGAAATTCCCCAGGAGCCTGGGAGGCCTCAGGGCAGGATGGGCGTAGCGGGTGGAGGGTGGGGGTGATGGCCGTGGGGTGATGGTGGTAGTGGTGGTGGTCTGCTCCACTGTCTCAGCTGGGCCGTTCTGTCATGAGAAAAAAGGCTAGACATCCAGATGTGTGCGTGTGTAACACAGTCTAATTTCCAGACGTTGGGAGCAAATGCTCGTCCTGTGCTTCCCTTAACGGAAGGAGCCGAGCAAGGGCCGAGCAGCGACGTCACACGAGCCGGCTCTGCCGGCCCTGGAGCAGCTTCAGCCCTCTGTGGACCGTGTTACTCTGCGCTTCAGTTCTCTCTGCATGGAGCCTCACTAAACAAGCACCAGATGAAAACCTCAAGACCAGCACCGACTAATTAAGAACAGATAATTGTTGCTTTTCTTGTGAATAGAACAAAATATAGTTTCCAGTACTAAATACTTAACACACTAACTGTCTGAAAGTGATGATGGTGCGCGGCTCAATTTTCAAAGCCTTTCCCGTTAAGACCACACACCGACGGCACTACCTTGGCCTGGCAGGACAGGTAAATTACTAGTGAAGCACAATGAAAGAATCCATTTTCTAAAACCCCCGCAACGTTCAGGGATTTACAATATTTGTAAGGAGGGGCTTGGTAAAGGGCTCCACTAGAGTGCTAAGCAGCAGCTCACGAGAAGTTCGAAAGGAGTACTTATTTTGAAGCATCTACCCCGACAGTCACTAGGTCAGCCCTAGCGTCGAAGTCACTGTTTCCCGTGCTCTCACCCTTCGCAGCACAAACAGCAACGCTCTTTCCTTATCTGGGCCCAGGAGGCCGACGAAGGCAGTTACCACCGACCTCTCCTCGCTCACTGATTGCAGAAGCGTACCAGCCCACCAGGCTGCAGCTGAGTGAGGGGAGGCTGCCTGCTTCTCTGCAGGCGGAGGAAGAAACACTTG